CATTGGACATCCCTTCGCTGCCCCATAGTTCTATTTACTTTGATCAAAACCGCACGATATACAGGTATTTGCGAGATGATGTTCTTTTAAAAACAATWGAATACTTTATAGATGGTTTGAGACGTGAGCGCGTTTAGACGACGCTGTATAGCGAGTGCATGCATCAGTTGTAGAATCGACAGAATCAGCTTGCATTATTACCGGCAACAATGCTGTTTGTTATTTTTTTAAATTTGTCTATTGATAACTAAGTTCTAKACTAACGGATTATGCGGTTTTCTAGACATAGAATATCGTAAATAATCATAAACTGAACTGTAGTTTCTATCTTTTTGATTGATGATAAATACAGATAATGATATATTGTATGTACTGGTATCCTGTCATACATTCCCGAGTACATTTGGCAGTTTATTGTACCCGCAGCTAAGTATAACAGTTGCTATGATATTTAGTKTTTTTAACTGTAATAATATTTAATTGAAACGCCGGGTCACCAGGTCAATTAGAGCAAACGCATGAAAACCATGAAATTAAATCAAACTAAATACTAACAAATAGCGGCTATTTAGAGACACTTTGTCAGTATCAATGAACCAGAACACAATGAAGATGAACCCACATGGGACCATTTTTCATTCATTTTCATTGAGTTCTGGTTCATTAGTACTGACAAATGTTCTCTATAAATAGCCTTTTGGGTTGGCATGGACAAACTAACAAGGGTACAGTGTGAAATCGATGTAAAATAATTCCAGTTGAATTCTTCTTCTGAAAGAACCATTAATTTCAAACGTTAGAAGTAAACTTGCGAATTTTGAAGGACTTAGTTTCATGATCTGGGGAGCRATTAAACGCATTTTTAGTTCTCCATACATAACGCAAAACGCATTAATTTCCTCGCTCCCTAGATCAACAAAGGCCTTTTAAATTCACCAGTTAGCTCCTTTTCTTAGTATCTAACGTTAAATATCAATGATTCATTCAATAGGAATTCAACTGGAATTATTTCAGGCATCGATTTCACAAATGTGTCCTTGTGCYATGCTACTGAAACAAAATGGTGTCAAAACCGTCACCTCATCTATTGTTTACAAATATTACTCATTCGTACTTGTTACGTACCACTTAATACATATAATGACAACATTGAATTAGACTTCATTTGACTTACATGATAACATAGTTTAATCATTCAAAAATTCGTTGACAAAAAAATACTATACATCATCTGATCATTCGTAATCGTACATTGTTCGTACATTTTCTATCATTATTTATATGATAATATTGAGCTGTAGTACCTATATTGTATTTTTAGCCATATTTTGTCCGGCAACGGTAATCTGGAAAACGACTGTTAAAAATAGAAYATAATAAAACATATTGTATATTTTTAATACAAAAAATAGCACTATGCTGTCATGAACATTTTTCCACAGAATGTATAAAAATCATATACTAAAGGAGAACTGTCGAAGAACAAATATTCTATTKGCTCTTCCTTGGGGACTTTCGAGGACTTCGTCGAAGTGGTTCTATTTCGTTGTCAGCTTGTGATCGCTTGTCTCCGGTCTTTCTACAAAGCAATGGACAGAATAAGTTAATCAATATATAACTAAATATGAAATTTCATCAGCTTTAGAGTTTCGGGTGCTACTTTTCAAATCATTATACATTATATTATTTTTTATTTTCATGCATATAATAATTGCTTTCAAAAATGAAAAAATGTAGAGTCAGACAATATCAATGGATTTCGAACTCAATTGGGGCACGGATAATATACAGTTTCGAAAATACTTACTCTTTGTTTGCATCCTGCTCGATTTGTTGGTATGCCTCCTGATATTCTCGTATGGAAATATTGACTTCTGTTAGCTTCACAGTRAAATCAATTCTTCCTTGATCGTCCTCCGGAATTGCCGTTTTTACGAAGGTGTATTTCTGTGTTGGAGAATAAAAAATAAACAAAAATAAGACAATGCTCTGCAATATTCAACTGACCTGCAAACATGATAAACAAATAAAACGTTAAGAATTTTGTTGTGCACATGCATAAAAAAAAATAAATCACTTTTGCATTCAGTATCAATAAATAAAACGTCAAATTTTCCGCAGCATTTAAAACAAGGCTATCACCAATATATAATTTATCCATATATAGGCGGTACGGTATACGTAATTAAGGTAACATTACAATAATATAATAATATATTAAGATTACAATATGTTACAATATAACAATTCCTTACTATGTACGATCCTGGCCCTTTTTCGGATGTCAAGTGCCCAAATCCTTGTTCTTGCAAATCTTCCATAGCTTTGATGACTGCGTTTTTGTCCGGAGCATAGCCACGGAATTTCTTTTTCTTTAGAAGGGGAGTCACCTCGAGTTTCTTTCCCTCGAGAAGAAGGATATGCTGCTTCAGACTTTTTTTTCTGGGTTGATCTGTTGATGCCGACATTGCTTCATCGCATTCCTCGGACTCTACGGCCACACTGTTTATCTCGTCTTGCATTGATGATCTTGATGATRGATAAAGCGCGTGGTCGCAAGCCAAACCAACGAAGCTGATGGCGGCATCAACAGCTAAATCTGTCACTTTTTTGATGGCGGTTGGTTCACTGTCGTCTGTTGTCTGGCCAATGGTAAACAGCACTGTAAATATTGCAGCTAGCCTGAGTGTTTGGCCTTTGGATTTGCTTAACATACCTAAAAAAATCACATTTTAATAAGGTCAACCAATAATGTCACTTAACATGCTTATAGTGATTTAATATTATTAYATTATAAAGCATATAAAGTTTCAGTTTTTACCAGTAATCATTTCGTCATAGCCAGCTATCATCTTAAGTTTATCTTGGATGCTGTCATAATGCGCTTTAAACGATGGACATTCCAATTTGTCCAAACTCAAAGTCACCCGCTCTTTTGGGTTGGTCTTTCGTGCAATTATCAGGTCCGCTATAAGTGACACTAACGAAATAAAGAATAAATAACAAGAAGTCATTAACTTCATTTTATATTTGCATATTTATGAAGTAATCGACTGAAATTAATTATAATTAAATAAAATTTGTATGTGCACATATATATGCACCAGATCGCCTGTCCGATCACGCGCGGTCGTAAGAACGATGTTATAATGAGATGTATCTGGACATCTGGACATAAACGCTACATTTCTATTCTCTTTCTTGTATATTAGAATAATTCCCACAATCCCTAGGCCACATGCACTCCAACCCCTCCAATTAGATATGACTATAATACTTACCAAATTCGTTGTAAAATATCGGATCTACTGCTTCTAAGTCGTCCATGGACTTAAAGACGGGGTCCGGTGTTATCCAAAGAAATCTACTGGACAGGCCCTTTTCAGCACTTCCTGCCTGAGCAATAATGCTTGCTGCTACAGTTGGCTGTGTGAAACCTCCAATGGTAAAACTTGTAAGGGGCATGTCGAAGTTGCATTCTCGAGAAACTATTTTAAAACAAATAACAAAGTACTTCGATTACAAGTGGTATATGATATAATATTTCCAATAAAAGGAAATTAATGGATATTGACAGACGAGTAGACAAAATTAGAAAGTAACAATTGAAAACACACAAACCAGTGTTTCTTTCCGAGTTTTTTTTTTCCTTTTCAAATTAAATGCATATTATGATCAAACAACTATCCATAAGATTATTGAGTCATATAGTAAAATGATAAGCTCAAATGAGATTATGAAAATCTACCCGAGTCACAAAAATTTCAATATAAAAAGCATTATTTACTAACCGGTTTTACGGGCCCATCCTGTGCCGTTATACAATTGCAGCAACATTGCCAAGTCTTGTGAATCYGTAAGTGTTTTTCCTCTGTAAACATTCATCTGTGTTAAAAAATGGGTGAACTCGTCAAAGAGTCCGATCATTTTGAAATTGTTGTCGTTCATCATGGCTCCCATTCTTTCCATAGTAGCCTCCTCAACTGACCAGGGCGGGGAGTCGCTGTTCATCTTCAAAGATCCTCTTACGTCTTTGATTATATTCTTTAGAAATTTATAGAGAGTGGATTTGCCAGAGCCACTCGGCATAACTACTATCAGCCAAGCTATGACTGGTTCATACCAATCCGTGTTCACAATGTGAACGTTTGAGTGGCCCATTGCAAAACCAACTAGTACCATAAGACCACTTAGGACGGCCAAAGGAGGGAGACTGAGAGCTTTGCCAATCTGTTCACAGCCCTAAATATAGCAAAAAAATTGTTAATATTGACTGTAGTCATAATGTATCGTGTATGATGCATTATCATTATTATTATTATCTACTTACATCTTTTAGCTTTTTAGGAACCTTTTCCCAGGGCATGTCTTTTTGCCAGCAACACTTTAAGTTTTTCCGCATTGAGGTGGAACTTTTCACAAAACGCTTCGGAGTACCAGACATAACGATATTGAGCTAACTCTGAAATACGAATGCCTGATAGTGTTTTAGATAAGGATATCTTCAGTAGTCCGATTCCCGAGTGAGTAACAATGTTCTCCTTTATATGTTTTTCGTTGTCACGTGTTTCTATTTTATCTCTAAAACTATCAGAGCATTTCACAGCTTCCCTTGAAATGAGGACCGCGTTTCACAGCTTCGTTAGACAGGAAAGGATTGGAATTTAATTAGCTTATTAATCCAAGGGAAAAACACTGTAGTGGTAAATGTACGTTTTCTCGATCATCTCAGGACGATATGTCGAGTATGTATAAAGCATGAACTGAACTAAAAATGAATTGCATTACACGTACATGTCCCAGTGACATATATTATAAGAAATCTTCACGATTTACCGCGCTAAACAAATACAAATGTCTCGAAATGTACAAAAATTTGTACAATGCGACAACAATTCTTTGATATGGTCGGTGCTCGTGTTAAATGGATTAAAGGGTTAGTGCCACCGGAGTTGTTGTTGTTCTGTATCTGGCCGGAGTTCAAGAAACTTTTGATATATTTTTAAAACTTTGATTATCGAAAGATATATAAAAAAAGACGGATTGTTCAGTTTTGTTTAAAACTACGACACTACACACACATACTACTACACATGAGGACCGCGTTTCACAGCTTCGTAAGACAGGAAAGGATTGGAATTTAATTAGTTCATTAATCCGAGGGAAAACTGCTTTAGTGGTTTAAAAAGTACAAATTCAATGATAAATGTACGTTTTCTATCATCT